GAGTGGGATGGGTGAGTGGGATGGGTGAGTGGGATGGGTGAGTGGGATGGTGAGTGGGATGGGTCTGAGTGGGATGGGTGAGGGGGATGGGTGAGTGGGATGGGTGAGTTGGGATGGGTGAGTGGGATGGTGAGTGGATGTAGTGAGTGGGATGGGTGAGTGGGATGGGTGAGTGGATGGGTGAGTGGGATGGGTGAGTGGGATGGGTGGGTGGGATGGGTGAGTGGGATGGGTGAGTGGGATGGGTGAGTGGATGGGTGGGTGGGATGGTGAGTGGGATGGCGTGAGTGGGATGGGTGTGAGTGGGATGGGTGGGTGGGATGGGTGAGTGGATGGGTGGGTGGGATGGGTGAGTGGGATGGGATGGGTGAGTGGATGGTGAGTGGGATGGTGAGTGGGATGGGTGAGTGGATGGGTGAGTGGATGGGTGGGTGGGATGGGTGGGTGGATGGGTGAGTGGGATGGGTGGGTGGGATGGGTGAGTGGGATGGGTGGGGGATGGGTGGGGGATGGGTGAGTGGGATGGGTGAGTGGATGGGTGAGTGGGATGGGTGAGTGGGATGGGTGAGTGGGATGGGGGGTGGGACTGGGTGTGGTGGGATGGGTGAGTGGGATGGGTGAGTGGGATGGGTGGGTGGGATGGGTGGGTGGGATGGTGGGTGGGATGGGTGAGTGGGATGGGTGAGTGGGATGGGTGAGGGGATGGGTGAGTGGGATGGGTGAGTGGGATGGGTGAGTGGGGACGGGTGAGTGGGACGGGTGAGTGGGATGGGTGAGTGGGATGGGTGAGTGGGATGGGTGGGTGGGATGGGTGAGTGGGATGGGTGAGTGGGATGGGTGGGTGGGATGGGTGGGTGGGATGGGTGAGTGGGATGGTGAGTGGGATGGGTGGGTGGGATGGGTGAGTGGGATGGGTGGGTGGGATGGGTGAGTGGGATGGGATGGGTGGGTGGGATGGGTGAGTGGGATGGGTGAGTGGGATGGGTGAGTGGGATGGGTGAGTGGGATGGCGTGAGTGGGATGGGTGAGTGGGATGGGTGAGTGGGATGGGTGAGTGGGATGGGTGGGTGGGATGGGTGAGTGGGATGGGTGGGTGGGATGGGGAGTGGGATGGGTGAGTGGGATGGGTGAGTGGGATGGGTGAGTGGGATGGGTGAGTGGGATGGGTGAGTGGGATGGGTGAGTGGGATGGGTGAGTGGGATGGGTGAGTGGGATGGGTGAGTGGGATGGGTGAGTGGGATGGGTGGGTGGGATGGGTGAGTGGGATGGGATGGGTGAGTGGGATGGGTGAGTGGGATGGGTGAGTGGGATGGGTGAGTGGGATGGGTGAGTGGGATGGGTGAGTGGGATGGGTGGGTGGGATGGGTGGGTGGGATGGGTGGGTGGGATGGTGGGTGGGATGGGTGGGTGGGATGGGTGGGTGGGATGGGTGAGTGGGATGGGTGGGTGGGATGGGTGGGTGGGATGGGGGTGGGTGGGATGGGTGGGTGGGATGGGTGGGTGGGATGGGTGGGTGGGATGGGTGGGTGGGATGGGTGGGTGGGATGGGTGAGTGGGATGGGTGGGTGGGATGGGTGGGTGGGATGGGTGAGTGGGATGGGTGGGTGGGATGGGTGGGTGGGATGGGTGGGTGGGATGGGTGGGTGGGATGGGTGGGTGGGATGGGTGGGTGGGATGGGTGGGTGGGATGGGTGGGTGGGATGGGTGAGTGGGATGGGTGGGTGGGATGGGTGGGTGGGATGGGGTGGGTGGGATGGTGGGGGGATGGGTGGGTGGGATGGGTGGGTGGGATGGGTGGGTGGGATGGGTGGGTGGGATGGGTGGGTGGGATGGGTGGGTGGGATGGGTGGGTGGGATGGGTGGGTGGGATGGGTGGGTGGGATGGGTGGGTGGGATGGGTGGGTGGGATGGGTGGGTGGGATGGGTGGGTGGGATGGGTGGGTGGGATGGGTGGGTGGGATGGGTGGGTGGGATGGGTGGGTGGGATGGGTGGGTGGGATGGGTGGGTGGGATGGGTGGGTGGGATGGGTGAGTGGGATGGGTGAGTGGGATGGGTGAGTGGGATGGGTGAGTGGGATGGGTGAGTGGGATGGGTGGGTGGGATGGGTGGGTGGGATGGGTGAGTGGGATGGGTGAGTGGGATGGGTGGGTGGGATGGGTGGGTGGGATGGGTGAGTGGGATGGGTGAGTGGGATGGGTGGGTGGGATGGGTGAGTGGGATGGGTTGGGTGGGATGGTGTGAGTGGGATGGGATGGGTGAGTGGGATGGGTGAGTGGGATGGGTGGGTGGGATGGGTGGTGGGATGGGTGAGTGGGATGGGTGAGTGGGATGGGTGGGTGGGATGGGTGGGTGGGATGGGTGAGGTGGGGATGGGTGAGTGGGATGGGTGAGTGGGATGGGTGAGTGGGATGGGTGAGTGGGATGGGTGAGTGGGATGGGTGAGTGGGATGGGTGAGTGGGATGGGTGAGTGGGATGGGTGAGTGGGATGGGTGAGTGGGATGGGTGGGTGGGATGGGTGAGTGGGATGGGTGAGTGGGATGGGTGAGTGGGATGGGTGGGTGGGATGGGTGGGTGGGATGGGTGAGTGGGATGGGTGAGTGGGATGGGTGAGGTGGATGGGTGGGTGGGATGGGTGGGTGGGATGGGTGAGTGGGATGGGGTGAGTGGGATGGGTGGGTGGGATGGGTGGGTGGGATGGGTGGGGATGGGTGAGTGGGATGGGTGAGTGGGATGGGTGAGTGGGATGGCGTGAGTGGGATGGGTGAGTGGGATGGGTGAGTGGGACGGGTGAGTGGGATGGGTGAGTGGGATGGGTGAGGTGGGATGGGTGGTTGGATGGGTGAGTGGATGGGTGAGTGGGATGGGTGGGTGGGATGGGTGGTGGATGGGTGAGTGGGATGGGGTGAGTGGGATGGGTGGGTGGGATGGGTGAGTGGGATGGTGGGTGGATGGGTGAGTGGGATGGGATGGGTGGGGTGGGATGGGTGAGTGGGATGGGTGAGTGGGATGGGTGAGTGGGATGGGTGAGTGGGATGGGTGAGTGGATGGGTGAGTGGGATGGGTGAGTGGGATGGGTGAGTGGGATGGGTGGGTGGGATGGGTGAGTGGGATGGGTGGGTGGGATGGGTGAGTGGGATGGGTGAGTGGGATGGTGAGTGGGATGGGTGAGTGGGATGGGTGAGTGGGATGGGTGAGTGGGATGGGTGAGTGGGATGGTGTGAGTGGGATGGTGAGTGGGATGGTGAGTGGGATGGGTGAGTGGGGATGGGTGAGTGGGATGGGTGAGTGGGATGGGGATGGGATGGGTGAGTGGGATGGGTGAGTGGGATGGGTGAGTGGGATGGGTGGGTGGGATGGGTGGGTGGGATGGGTGGGTGGGATGGGTGGGTGGGATGGTGGTGGGATGGGTGGTGGGATGGGTGAGGTGGGATGGGTGGGTGGTGATGGGTGGGTGGGATGGGGTGGGTGGGATGGGTGGGTGGGATGGGTGGGTGGGATGGGTGGGTGGGGATGGGTGGGTGGGATGGGTGGGTGGATGGTGGAGTGGGATGGGTGGGTGGGACTGGGTGGGTGGGATGGGTGGAGTGGTGATGGGTGGGTGGGATGGGTGGGTGGATGGGTGGGTGGGATGGCGTGTGGGTGGGTGGAGGGTGGGGGATGGGTGGGTGGGATGGGTGGGTGGGATGGGTGAGTGGGATGGGTGGTGGGATGGGTGGGTGGGATGGGTGGGTGGGATGGGTGGGTGGGATGGGTGGGTGGGATGGGTGGGTGGGATGGGTGGGTGGGATGGGTGGGTGGGATGGGTGGGTGGATGGGTGGGTGGGATGGGTGGGTGGGTATGGGTGAGTGGGATGGGTGGGTGGGATGGGTGGGGGATGGGTGGGTGGGATGCTGTGGGTGGGATGGGTGGGTGGGATGGGTGGGTGGGATGGGTGGTGGGATGGGTGGGTGGATGGGTGGGTGGGATGGTTGGGTTGGATGGGTGAGTGGGATGGGTGGGGTGGGATGGGTGGGTGGGATGGCGTTGAGTGGGATGGGGTGGGTGGGATGGGTGGGTGGGATGGGTGAGTGGGATGGGTGGGTGGGATGGGTGGGTGGATGGGTGGGTGGATGGTGGGTGGGATGGGTGGGTGGATGGGTGAGTGGGATGGGTGGGTGGGATGGGTGGGTGGGATGGGTGGGTGGGATGGGTGGGTGGGATGGGTGGGTGGGATGGGGGGGTGGGATGGGTGGGTGGGATGGGTGGGTGGGATGGGTGGGTGGGATGGGTGGGTGGGATGGGTGGGTGGGATGGGTGAGTGGGATGGGTGGGTGGGATGGGTGGGTGGGATGGGTGGGTGGGATGGGTGGGTGGGATGGGTGAGTGGGATGGGTGAGTGGGATGGGTGAGTGGGATGGGTGGGTGGGATGGGTGGGTGGGATGGGTGAGTGGGATGGGTGAGTGGGATGGGTGAGTGGGATGGGTGAGTGGGATGGGTGGGTGGGATGGGTGGGTGGGATGGGTGAGTGGGATGGGTGAGTGGGATGGGTGAGTGGGATGGTGGGTGGGATGGGTGGGTGGGATGGGTGGGTGGGATGGGTGAGTGGGATGGGTGAGTGGGATGGGTGAGTGGGATGGGTGAGTGGGATGGGTGAGTGGGATGGGTGGGTGGGATGGGTGGGTGGGATGGGTGGGTGGGATGGGTGAGTGGGATGGGTGGGTGGGATGGGTGGGATGGGTGGGTGGGATGGGTGAGTGGGTGCTGCCTCCTCGCTTCTGCGACTCCTCAGTGCCTGCACCTCCTCGCTCGCCCACTCCCCTTCCACTCCCCTTCACTCCCATCCACTCCCTCACCTCGAGCTCCATCCTAAGCGTGGAGATCTCCGCCTCCTTCACGTCCTTGCTCTTGTCCTTCATGGCTACACTCCCTCTCATTCAGCGACACACACTCTCGCCCACTCCCACCCAGTCCCACCCATTTGCACTCCCTTTCACTCCCCTTCACTCCTTTCCTCACCTCGAGCTCCATCCTGAGCGTGGTGATCTCCACCTCCTTCACGTCCTTGCTCTTGTCCTTCATCTCCTTCAGACTCGCCTGCCATGTCATACCCCACACACACACACGCAAGCATGCGCACAGGCAGGTGGCACAGGCAGCACAACAGCAAGGGCGCACAGGCAGGTGAGAACAGAGCATGGCAATCAAAGCAGGCCATCAAAGGGTATGCATGAAGGCATGGGCAGGGCAGGGCAGGGCTGTCAGATCACGGATGGGTGAACAAGGCCAGAAGATCTGGATGAGTAATCCATGCATACAGGCGAGCATTGGCATGCAAGCAGGAGCAGTGCGAGCATTAGCATGCAAGCAGGAGCAGTGCGAGCATTAGCATGCAAGCAGGAGCGGTGCGAGTATTAGTGAACAGAAATTACCTCGCGCTGCTTGAGAACCGCCTCTTTCCTGCCAGGGGGGATGCGAGGGGCGCAAGGAGGGGAGGGGAGGAGCATTGCCTGTCTGTCAACTTTTGAGTCGACTCAAAAGCATGCCTGTCTGTCAACGCCTTCACGAGATTTGCCTCAAGAAACGCCTTTTAAGGCACCTCAAAACAGAAACTCAAGAAATTTGCGCAGCAAATGAGTTCAGAGATGTCTTGAAAATCAGAGTAGCAAAATGAGGCGGGGGACCGGGGGGGAGATGGGGGGGGAGCAGCGCAGAGAAAGAAAGACAAGCGGAGAAGAAGGTTCAGGAGGAAGAGAACTGGCTGGGCTCAAAGGGAGGGGGGGCGCCGGGGAGGAGGGGGCGATGGGGGAGGAAGGAGGGGGGAGTGGTGTCTGGATTGGATAAATCGGGTTGACCCCAGGTATCCAGTTTTAAAATTCGTTTGGGTTTTGCTCACTTGTTGAGAAGACGGGCCTCCAGGCTGAGCCCTTCTCCCATCTTGGCCACCTGCAGGGCGACAGAGGGATAGAGCAAGAGATTGAGTGGCAGAAAGCGGTGGAGCGCGGTCCAAGGGTAGAGTACGGGCAGTATGTGGAAAGCCAATGCCTACACAGAAGGGCAGTGGCAGTGGTAGTGACTTTTCTCGACTCAACTCAGCTTGGCCCGGCCCGGCCCAACTCAGTTCGGCTTGGGCCGACCCGACCCAACCTGACCGAACCGATCTGGGCCAAACCGAACCGAGCCGAACCAAACCGACTTGACTTGTTTTGGCCTTGACTTAACTCTCCCCTCGCCCTCCTCACTACCCCAACCTCTCACTCACTCCTCTCACTCCCTCCTCCCACTCCAACCTCTCATTCCCCCCTCTCACTAACCTCCCCCCCACCCACCTGCTTCTCCAGCTCCTGCCCGCGCGCCTTCTTCTCCTTCAATCAAGTCAGCCCCTCCTCTTAACCACCTCTCCCATTACCCCTCTCAATCATTCCCCTGCCCTTCCCGCGCACCCCCCCACCCCCCTCCCCTCCCCCACCTGCTTCTCCAGCTCCTGCACGCGCGCCTGCTTCTCCTTGAGGTCCTCCTCGGCCATGCGCAGCTGTAGTGTGGGAAAGAGAGGGCAACGAGGGGGGAAAAGAGTGAGGGATAGCTCTGCACTCGCGCCTGCTTCTCCTTGAGGTCCTCCTCCGCCATGCGCAGCTGCAGGGGCGGGGGGAGAGGAGAGGGGGAGTTTGGGGAAAAAAGGGGAGAGGGGGAGTGTGGGGAAAAAGGGGGAGAGGGGGATTGTGGGAAAAAAGGGGAAAGGGGGAGTGTGGGGAAAAAGGGGAGAGAGGGAGTGTGGGGAAAAAGGGGAGAGGGGGAGTGTGGGGAAAAAGGGGAGAGGGGGAGTGTGGGAAAAAAGGGGAGAGGGGGAGTGTGGGGAAAAAGTGGAGAGGGGGAGTGTGGGAAAAAGTGGAGAGGGGAGTGTGGGGAAAAAGGGGAGAGAGGGAGTGAGGGGAAAAAGGGGAGAGAGGGAGTGTGGGGAAAAAGGGGAGAGAGGGAGTGTGGGGAAAAAGGGGAGAGAGGGAGTGTGGGGAAAAGGGGAGAGAGGGAGTGTGGGGAAAAAGGGGAGAGAGGAGTGTGGGGAAAAAGGGGGAGAGAGGGAGTGTGGGGAAAAAGGGGAGAGAGGGAGTGTGGGAAAAAGGGGAGAGAGGGAGTGTGGGGAAAAAGGGGAGAGAGGGAGTGTGGGGAAAAAGGGGAGAGAGGGAGTGTGGGGAAAAAGGGGAGAGAGGGAGTGTGGGGAAAAAGGGGAGAGGGGGAGTGTGGGGAAAAAGGGGAGAGGGAACACAGTGAGAGGCGGAGAAGCATAGACTTGAGGTCCTCCTCTCCTCTGCCATGCGCAGCTGCAGGGGCGGAGGGGAGAGGGGGAGAAGGCGGAAGCAAAAGGGGGGAAGGGGACACAGTGAGAGGCGGAGAAGGATAGCCCTCAGGTCCCCCTCTGCCATGCGCAGCTGCAGGGGCGGAGGGGAGGGGCGGCGCGAGAGGGAAAACCGGGGAGGGGAAGGGGAGGTGAATGGGAGGGGTGGGAAAGGGTTGGGGGAAGAGTGAGGGATGGCCTTGCACGCGCGCCTGCTTCTCCTTGAGGTCCTACTCCGCCATGCGCAGCTGCACAAGGGGGGAAAGGGACGGGGGAAGGAGGGAGGGGGGAGGGGGAGGGGAGAGGGGGGGAGGGGGGAGGGGGGAGGGGGAGGGGGGGGGAGAGAGTGAATAGAGACGTGAGTCCTCCTCTGCCATGCGCAGCTGCACAAGGGGGGGTGAGGGGTGGGGAGGCCGGGAGAGCACAGGGGGGAAGCAGTGGGGAAATAAGGGATAGCCCTGAGATCCTCCGCTGTCATGCGCAGCTGCTCAAGAGCGGAGGGTAGAGGGAACGCGGCACTTCCAGCCTCAGATTGAACATATGAATGAACAGCTTACAGCACATCAGAAACAGCTTACAGCACATCAGACACAGCTTACAGCACATCAGACACAGCTTACAGCACAACAGAAACAGCTTACAGCACAACAAAAACAGCTTACAGCACAACAGAAACAGCTTACAGCACATCCAGCAGGAACTCGTTTTCCTCTGTGAGAACATCCAGCTGGGGGAACAGACCTTTTTGAATTGCCTCGAACACTGCCCCCCTACCAATTCACCCCCATCAGCTCGCCTTATCCAGCAGGAACTCGTTTTCCTCAGTGAGTACGTCCAGCTGGGTGAACAGACATCTGAGGCCCACTGCCCCCCCACCAATGTATCCCCCACTCTCCGAAACCCCCATCAGCTCACCTTATCCACCAGGAACTCGTTTTCCTCTGTGAGTACATCCAGCTGCGGAGACGAGGCGGGAAGAGGAGCAGAGGGGATGGGACACAGTGACGAGCACATTAAGCTAGCTAGCTGAGTCTAGTTTTGAGGTGCATCAAACACGGGCAGGAAGAGAGCGGCAAGGGGGCAGGGAGCACAGTGACGAGCACATTAAGCTGAGGAAAAGGCAAACGAGAAGAGAAAAACGAGATGGTAGATAAGGAGGAAAGAGGAGGGAAGGGGAGAGAAGGAGTGGGACATGGAGGACAGTGACGAGCACATTAAGCTGAGGAAACGGCAAAAAGAGAACGGGGGAAACGAGATGGCAGAGAAGCGAGGTAAGAGGCAGAAGGGGCGGAGGGACAAGGAGCATGGCTGTGACATGGCTCATTCATGGCTCATTCATGGCTCATTCATGGCTCATTCATGGCTCATTCATGGCTCATTCATGGCTCATTCATGGCTCATTCATGGCTCATTCATGGCTCATTCATGGCTCATTCATGGCTCATTCATGGCTCATTCATGGCTCATTCATGGCTCATTCATGGCTCATTCATGGCTCATTCATGGCTCATTCATGGCTCATTCATGGCTCATTCATGGCTCATTCATGGCTCATTCATGGCTCATTCATGGCTCATTCATGGCTCATTCATGGCTCATTCATGGCTCATTCATGGCTCATTCATGGCTCATTCATGGCTCATTCATGGCTCATTCATGGCTCATTCATGGCTCATTCATGGCTCATTCATGGCTCATTCATGGCTTTAGGCACTCCCTGCTCTCACATCGTCCTTGAGCTTGCCTCGCTCTTTCACGCTTCTTACATAATCCTTTTAGGTAAGCGCTGCTCTTACATCGTCCTTGAGCTTGGCTGATTCGCGCTTGATGCTCTCCATCTCCTGCCGGGACGCTACTGTATCCCTGCCAGAGCGACGAGGGCGGTGCAGAGGGGTGAAACGAGGCGCGGAGGACTGTGAAGAGGTGCAGTTGGGTGGGGTGAAGCGTGATGCAGAGTAGCAACGCGGATGCGTTGTCAAAGTGAGGAGGAGCATTCACGCATCTCCTCTCCAGCGCGTACAGGAAAATCACTAATGAGAATTCTCAAAAGTGGATTTCAATGCAGCGCGTACAGGCGTCGCCTCATTCATGCTGTATCAGCCTATGCCCCCCCATCCCCCCCCTCGGTACAGGCGTCGCTACACCATCACATCACACACATTCCCGCATCTCCCCTCCCCCATGCACCATCCCATACGTACGGGCGTCGTCCCATGTCATATCCGCCCATGCCTCCCCCCCCTCGGTACAGGTCCCCCATGGGGTCAGGTGAGTCGTATCCGCCCCCCCCCATCCCTCACATCATCACACCCACACATTCCCGCGTCTCCCCTCCCCATGCACCATCCCACACATTCGCCTCCCCATGCACCCATGTCACATGCACATGCACGCGCGTCGCCCCAAGTCATACACCCATGCCTCCCCCCCATGTCATACACCCATCCATCCATCACACTCATCCCACACGTACGGTCGTCGCCCCATGTCGTATCCGCCAATGCCTCCCCCCCATCGGTACAGGAACCCCATGGGGTCGGGCGCGTCACATCAGCCCCCTGCCAACCCCGCACAACATCACACCCACACATTCCCGCGTCTCTCCTCCCCATGCACCAACCCACGCATGCACCTCCCCATGTACCATCCCACACGTACGGGCGTCGTCCCATGTCGTATCCGCCCATTCCGCCCCCCCCTCGGTACGGGTCCCCCATGGGGTCGGGCGCGTCATATCCGCCCCCTGCCGGCCGCGTGCGCCCCATAGCGCCCCCAGTGGGGGGCTGGCGCATTCCCCCCGCGGACCTGGGGAGCTGGGAGGCGGGGAGAGGGGGGAGTGAGGGGGAAAACGGGCAGGGAGGGGGGAGTTTAAGACATCTAAAAAAAAATGGGGTGGGTGAGATCGGGCGCGTCGTATCCTCCCCCTGCCGGCCGCGGGCACCCCATAGCGGCCCCAGTGGGGGGGCTGGCGCATTCCCCCGCCCGACCTGGGGAGCTGGGATGTGGGGAGAGGGGAAACGACGGGGAAAACGGGGTGCGCGAATCAGGACAGGAAGCATTTCACAAGAGCAGATACCTATAGTTTAGTAAAGAAGATATCCGAACTTAAAGGGTGTAACTGTAACCATGTAAAGAAATAGTCATGCTTAACATCCCACATAATAACCTCCCCGTTTCAGGTCAGCACTCTCAGCAGTTTTGGGCCCACTGAAAAGCGTTGACTGAACCTATCGCGTTGACATCCCGTTGACTCTCAGCGTTGACTCCCGGCGTTGACTCCCAGCGTTGACACCCAGCGTTGACTACCAGCGTTGACTCCCAGTCTAACGTCATCGACATCAGTCTCCTGGCCTTGACCTCAGTCTGCCGTCGAGTCTTCGCCACTGCTGGCGTCAAATATCATCGTTGACCTAATCTCTTCGTCGACCTAAAGTTGACCGACGATGACCTGACTTTCGTCAATGCTGACGTCATCTGACAATCCTTAGCCTAAGCTCATCGCCTTGTTGACCTTATCCTCGAAACACTGAAAGAAATTTCTCGTCGTGTTGACCTCAGTCTGCCGTCGTCGTTGACCTAGTCTTCCACATCGCTGAAATCAACCAACCGTTCTTGTCCTAAAGTCATTGGCTAGTCGCCTCATCGTCTCACTCATCGTCAATATCAAGGCATGGGCTTCACGTCTTACCATGCTAAACATAGCTTCACGCAGATGGCCAAGACCTATCTAATCGTTCAGTAAACCGGATGGCTCCGGAACAAACTAAGCCAGGTGGCATGCGGCCGCGAGTTTGCCCATTCCGGCACTGCGTTAATAACGAGGCAGTCGCTCCTGAGCTCTTGGGGACCTGTTCCATGCATTCTACGACAGACACACTGCGGTCGGCACGCCGTAATCATCGGGGAATACTAAGATCTTCACACTACTAGGACCGGCACATTAAGACCGGCACACTAAGGCCGGCACAATACAGCCGGCACACTACGACCCGCGCGCACACGCAGACAGCGCGCGCACCTGGCTGCCGTAGTCTTCTTGGGATTCATCCGACGTGTTCGACATGAGCGCGCGGAGCCGCTGCTGCGCCTGCAGCGCCGCATTGCTGCGCGACGACGGTCCGCCGGGCCCCTTGCCCGCGCCCGCGGGGGTTCCTGCTGCCCCTCCGTACCGGCCTGACCGCGCGCCATACCCTCCAGGGCGCGACGGATTCATGGCCGCGCGCAGAGAATACGAGAAAATAAAGTTACCCTAAAAGACGAAGGGGAAATGATAACTTCGCCCGTGCCACTGACGTTTCAAATATCGACACCCTTAGAAGACCGAACCTGGTCAAGGACACTCTTTGCACTTGAATCTAAGAGGCCCTCGCTAGCACTTGTAACCAGTACTAAGAGAATGAGGAACAAATGCTCGGCGTCCTAGGAACAGTAAATACCTAGGAACGTGATTTGCGGAAGAGGAAAAGGCGTGAATGGAGCAGCCTTTAGATTGGTTTGTTGGGGGGGGGGAGATGGCTGCTTGAGCCAGGTGATTGTGGCGAAAACAGTCTATAACGGTAACCCGACATCGTAATAATCAGTTCCATTGTTTAGGGCGTGTCACATAAGTTTTGGTCCGCGCTTGCGGGCCCAGACCAGCTTGACCGGATGGCGAGCCATCCTCGGACCCACACTCCCCACTTGGACCCCAGTTGCATCATATTGCTTGGTTTTGATAATAAATCGACAAGGATGTGAAGTGCTATATTCATTGTAACTTTAGCAACGTTATTTATTTTATTTTTGTAATAGATTCTCATAGGAAGGCTGCGTTGATACGGTTTTTCATATCTAGCCCCCGTATTATAGGTTATAACATTGGATAGTGTTCTTAGCATTGTATTGTGCACTTAAATATCTACAGGTTAGTAACCCTGAAAATACTACTGTAACAGCTAGAGACGAGAGCGTTTGTTGGCTTGGAGAAGGTCGCACCAATCACCTCACCAGCCACGTGTATTCAGGCCAGACGTGAAAGTCCTCGGTGTCCTCGAAAGAAGCGCCTTCGTTGCCACGCCACTGACCATCTTTCGCCTCTGATTGGCCATGCACTTGCCTAGCTGACGTGTTTGTCACTTTTGAACCGTTAGCCGTGAGACTCGCCAACGGTGCATATACTTGATTCCACCTCACGAAACCACGGAAACACATTCCTAAACGCTCTGTTACGTTGTGGAACCCTGCTAATATTCCGATATCTTTCAGAAACACCTCGTCCATGTCACCCGCTTTCTTTCGGATTCAGCCTCTTTTTCTCGAATTCGCCACTGCCTCCCTTGCCACATTCCGCCTTTGATGGCCACATTCGTTGGTATCGTGCCTCTTTTTGCAACCATGTCCGTTACAGGAGATCGCTATTGTTGATTCAGTAACGAAACCTAGTTTCGACTAGCTACCGTTACTTCGTAGAAGACTCTCGATCGAAGTCCTCTGTCAGCTGGCATCATGCGAACGTCCGCTATATGCGGCGGCGAGCGCGCGAGGCTGCTAGTTAGCCTTCCGAGCTCGAGCAGAATAGTGGGAGTCGCAGCCGCGGGTCAACTGTACGCGGATCCACTGGGATTATTCAAAATAAAACGGTTACGATCGTCAAATAACAACTTCCGGAAAGGCCGCCACGGGTTCTCGCCTAGCGAAAACGGCTCGGCTAGTATCCACCTGTCTGGCCGGGATAGGCTGTTCCGCCGCGCGTCTGCTCAGAGCCGGCACTGGGACTGGGTGGAGAACAATCCTGGCGGTGATACTCCTTTTAGCGACAGCGATAGAGACGGCAATCCCTATGGCCCTGGCAATGCCTATCGCCTAAGCGATTCCGATGGTGACCGAAGATATTCCAGTGGTGATGATAAAGCCTATCATGGCTCCGGAACATGCTATGATCAGGTTTCGCTGCGCGCCGATGCCAGCAGGTCGCCCATGATCCCTCACGACGTCGCCAAGGCTCTCGTGGACAGCTTGGCGAAGACTCACGAAAACGCTCGCGATGGCGATGACGATGTTGAAATCGAAGTTGAATCTGAAGCTGAGATTGATTTTGAGAGTGATAGTGATGACAGCACAGCGGAAGGAAACACCGAGAGCGACGGTGCTCACAGCGACAAGTGGGCTTTTGAAGTTAAAGCATCTCGAAAGACGGCGCAAGTTGTCGTTCAGGTACCGGCTACAGGACAAGGAGATCCGCAGAAGCCAGCTCGTACGAACAGAAGCAGTAACAGTAACCATCGCGCTGGTAACCACTGTAAAGGATCCGAGATCCACCCTGGGCAGATTAGAAGCAGTGAAGAGGAGGTGGCGCTGAGTTCCTGGAGCTGGCCTGCTGAGTCAGCATTTGCTGACTCAGCATCTTCTCGTGACACGTCATCCGTTGCTGCGGGCAGCGGCGAGGCAGTGGTGGTGCGACAGCTGGCGTTCAACGGTTGGTCGTCTGACGTGGTTCGGGTTGCCTGGCCTGGACCACCCGCTTCGCGTCGAAAGGCGCCGATCGCAAGTGAGTTGGTTCTGGTTCTGGTGAATGTGATGGTTATGGTGATGCTGTGATGGTGTGATGGTGTCTGGTCCTTCCCCTGTCATCCTCCTCTCATCCGCCTCTCATCCGCCTCTCATCCCCCTCTCATCCCACACCCCTTCCGCTCATGCCTCGTCTGATCGCCTCCCTGTGGTGTGGTGCTATCCCCTTTCCGCTCCCCTCCTGCCCCGATTCCTCAGAGCCTCTTCTGATCGCCTCTCTGCTGTGCGGTGCCGTGCTGTTGTACCGAGGGACTCTGAGCGACAAAGGTGCGTATGGGAGTGGTGAACCAGAGAGTGCATGAAGCTTGTGAAGACAGAGCAGGGATTGACCAGACGAGGGGTGGGTGGGGAGGGGGAGACGGAGGGGCTGGAAGCCAAGGCGGAAAAATATGGAATGGGGGTGGATCCAGCATAGCGCTGTGCTTGGAGCCCCAAACGGGAGCCATAGCCTTTACGTGGCAGCAACTGATTCAACTTGTAGAATTAATTGTTACTGAAATATTTGCTAGAAGTCTCTCACGCATTTTTTTTTTTTTTTTTTTTTTTTCGCTTTTCTCAGTTGAATGTTGCGATGCAATGAACCCACAGTAAGCCTCGCCCTCTCGTGCGACACCCATGCTTTCGTTTGAGTGCCTCGCCCATGTTCACTTCACACCATCGTGTCTCTCCCTACAGGCATCCCTCTGCTACACTCACGTCGTGATTCAGTCACCACCGTCAGCGCTCATGAAGGTGAAACGACTTTTTCTCTCGATATAACCACCTCCCATTAGCAGATTTCAATTCTGATTATCTTTTTGTAGGCTGCTGCCCGTTGTTCGAGATTTCAACAGAGGAAGGGAATGTCCAGCTCTGATGTGTTATAGTTTGCCGTCTCCTTCTGTATGAGTCCGACTTGAACAACCAAATTCTGTGTGCACAATGGAGAAAGCGCACTGGAGAATTGGAATAGAACAAGCACGTTCTAATGTGTTCTCCGGTGTGCTTTCTCGTTCCATCCTGGTAGATATGTCATCCCAAGACACTGATAAGGGGAGGCGAGGGCTGAAGGCAGGTGCAGAAGCAGCAGAGGGGGAGGCGGTGGAGGGAGGAGAGGAGAACAGGAGAGAAGGAACGGGGGAAGAATCGAGTGAGGGAGAGAGTGTGAAGGAAGACGGGAGGGGAATCGGAGAGGGAGAGGGGGGGAGTGCGGTGGAGGAGGGGGGGGTGACAAAGGGTATGGGTGCTGGGGGATGGAGAGGGGTGGTGGTGGGAAGGGGGAGGGAGGAGAGGATGAGGGTGGTGGTGGCGCCTCATGTGAACCCGGAGCACGCCCGCATGCTGGAAGGACTGAAGGAGCTTCAGGTGAGAGAGGGACTCCAGAGTGATTGCAAGCAAGGTGAATGGCGTGAGTCGACTCAAAAACACGGCTGGAAAGGGGAAGTGGAAGAGGATGCGAATGGTGGTGCTGCATCATGTGAGCCCGGAGCATGCTTGCATGTTGGAAGGACAGAAAGAGCTTCAGGCAAAACCAGGGAGGTGGCTTGCAGAGTTGGCATGGAAGGGGGGGGGAGGAGAGGATGAGGGTGGTGGCGCCTCATGTGAACCCGGAGCATGCACGCATGCTGGAAGGACTGAAGGAGCTTCAGGTGAGAGAGGGACTCCAGAGTGATTGCAAGCAAGGTGAATGGCGTGAGTCGACTCAAAAACACGGCTGGAAAGGGGAAGTGGAAGAGGATGCGAATGGTGGTGCTGCATCATGTGAGGCCGGAGCATGCTTGCATCTTGGAAGGACAGAAAGAGCTTCAGGTAAACCCAGGGAGGTGGCTTGCAGAGTTGGCATGGAAGGGGGAGGGAGGAGAGGATGAGGGTGGTGGTGGCGCCTCATGTGAACCCGGAGCACGCCCGCATGCTGGAAGGACTGAAGGAGCTTCAGGTGAGATACATGGCTTCCGAGGGCTTGCACACGGGCGCAGCAGAAGAATCACGAAGGGAAAGGATGCACAAGGATGCAAGGGTGTAAGGGTGATGTAAGGGTGATGTAAGGGTGATGTATGGGTGATGTAAGGGTGGTTACACAAGGATGATGATCCGGCTAGAAGTCTGTATTTGAGACACCTCAAAAACAGGCACCTAAAAAGAAAAAACATGTTCCTGCGGCGCCTCGAAAACACAAACGGTAAGGATGCAAGGGTGATTACACAAGCGTGACTGATCCAACTGAAAGGGCAATATCGTCATCGAGAAACTTATGAGAAAGGGATGCGCATCATAGGTGTTTGGGGGGGGTGGGGGGTGCTCGCATGTGAAAATTCTTCCTATAGGTTTGGATTGTGTAGGTGAGTGTGTAGAGGGAGTGTGCAGAGGGAGTGTGTGAGTGTGTAGGATGAGTGTGTAGGTGAGTGTGTATTTCTGTAAGTGGGGGAAGCTCTCCTAACCAAGTGCAGACTAGCCCTACCAAGTATGTGGGATGAGTGATAACTGTTTGTTTAGAACCGGATTTATAAATCCTCCTCTCTACTCCTCCTCCCCATGCTCCCACCAACCAATCAGGTGATAGATGCTGACGTGGCACCAGCTGGCATATGCACGAGGAGGGAGTTTGCCACGTGGCTGATGGCTTTCAGTGAGAAGCTCTCGGCCTCGCCCACCGATAGGGTGTATCCCGCCATGTTTATAGAGGGGATATCGGAGCAGGCCTATGCTGACGTGGCACCCGATGACCAGGACTTCGCCGCCATTCAAGGTGAGTCTTCTCTCTATTTTGAACAAGCTTTTATCAGCACCCCCATTTCAATCACACTCGTTGCTATCAACCCCGTTGCTATCGCCATCGTTGCTTCCAGATATCCTTTCTGTTCAAGGTTGATGTTCCCTATCATTCCTTTCTACACTCGTTGCTAGCAACCCTTGTATCACGGTGTTTCATTCACCCCCCATCCCTCTCCCATGTCAATTCCTCATCTTTTCCATCCCATCGTGCACTCCTATCCCATCCCTCCTCTCCTCTGCCATCCCATCGTGCACTCCTATCCCATCCCTCCTCTCCTCTGCCATCCCATCGTGCACTCCTATCTCATCCCTCCTCTCCTCTGCCATCCCATCGTGCACTCCTATCCCATCCCTCCTCTCCTCTGCCATCCCATCGTGCACTCCTATCCCATCCCTCCTCTCCTCTGCCATCCCATCGTGCACTCCTATCCCATCCCTCCTCTCCTGCGGCATCCCTTCGTGCACTCCGCGATCTTTTTCTCTGATTCCTGCTATTCTTTCTGCACCTCTCGCACAGGTCTGGCCGAAGCTGGCATTCTGCCCAGCCTGTTGGGTCGGAAGGACGAGGCGGGAGGGGCAGCGGAAGGGGAAGGTGCAGGGGAGGGTGAGGCGCTATTCCGGCCAGACAGGTGAGTATAAGGGACGGGCGATTTTGCAAGTCAGGGAGTTGTTGCAAGTGCAGTGTCATATCACTTGGCATGCAATCTCTAGCCATGTGGGTGAGGGAGGTTGCGTTGGGGTGACTCATCAAGTGCCTTGTGAGGTGCTACCGATTTCCAGAATTTAAGGCAGATGGTTTGCAGCGCGGGTGCATGCTCCTACCCGACGCAGAATTGATTGATTGATTGATTGATTGATTGATTGATTGATTGATTGATTGATTGATTGATTGATTGATTGATTGATTGATTGATTGATTGATCGATCTTTTTCCTCCTGCCTTTCCTTGTTGTTAAGAAAGGCCAGTGCCTCACTTGCCCGAGTTGTCTATCCACCTCTTTTTGAGGCGCCTCAGAAATAGACTCCCTTGCCTGAGTTGACTATCCACCTCTTGACTCCTTCTCTATGAGAAGGATTCTCTAAAAATGAAATTACTTCACCTCTTACCTTTCTCTTTCCCATCTCCTGTCCCTGTTGTCTCTTGCGTGCGTGCACCAGTCCCCTCACCCGTCAGGATCTGCTGACGTGGCGCTTTGCTCTGGAGTATTCCCACCTCCCGCCGCCCGACCTTGCCGCCCTGCGCCACACATGCGGGCTCATTGATGCCGCCCGAATCTCCCCTGCCGCCCAAAGAGCCGTCTCTTTCGATTTCCTGCATCACCGGGGGGGGATGGAGCACCAACCAGAGGGGGAAGAGGAGGGTTGGGGGCAGGCCGGGGGGAAGGGGCTGGGGGAGGGGCAGGGGAGGGGGCAAGATTTCAAATCTGCTACTAATGCGGCTGTTATTCCCTTGGTGTTCGGTAATGTTCGTCGGTTTGACCCCTTAAAGCCTGTTACGCATGCGCAGGCTGCTGCGGCGCTCACGTTCGGCCGAACCTATGAGACTGTGAACGAGGCTGCGGTTCGGGTGGAGGTGGCAGAGGCTCGGAAGGAAGCTGATGTGGCGAGGCAGGAGGCTGAGTCAGCGAGGAAAGAAGCAGCGCGACTGGCCGAGGAGATGGAAAAAGTGCGAGTGGAGGAGGTGGAGAGTGTGAGGAGGGAGAGGGAAGAGAGAGAGAGTGTGGAGAGGGAAAGGGAGTCATTAAGAGAAGATGTAGAGAGGCTAAGATCTGAGATTGTCAGGGTTGGCAGGGTTAGCAGCAGTGGTGGTGATCGCGATGGTGGGGTTGAAGGGAAGTTGAGTGTTGCAAGTGGGGGCCTGGAAGGAGAGGAGACGGAAGAGGCGAGTGGGGTGGCAGGCGAAGGGGAGCAAGGTTTCGGCAGCGAGAGGGAGGCAGGAGGAGGAGGAGGTGCGAGTGTGGAGGGCAGTGCTTCTGATGGGACGGAGGAGGGCAGGTGAGTTACTTTTGAGAATCTGCATAAGGGTTTGTCAGTGAGGGCTTTTGAGGCGCCTCAAGAGGAGGACAGGTGAGTTACTTTTGAGAATCTTCATAAGGGTTTGTCAGTGAGGGGGAGGTGGGAGGAGGAGGTGCGGGTGTGGAAGGTAGCGCTTCTGATGGGATGGAGGAGTGCAGGTGAGTGGTGCTATGGGTGGGATGGTGGCGCCTGCTTGTATTGCAGCAGAGAAAGTCAGAATTCAGAAGATATCTGGGAGACATGTGAGTGTGGCGTATTCGTCACCTCTCCCCACCCGGGATGGGTGGATTTGGTGGATTGGTTCCCGCGGGATGGTGGGTGGGTTCGTTCCAACAGAGAGCACAGCAGGCACAGCACGGCGCCACCAGCAGATCGTCTCCTGTTTCCATTTCAGAATGCATTTCCATTCCCTCCCTTCTTACTCACGCTCTCTTTTCCTTCATTGCCCCCCCCCCCCCCACTTTACAGCATCCAAGAACCTGCTATTCTCCCCCCTGGCTGGTGGGCGGATTTGATTCAACAGAGAGCAGAGGAGAGCAGGCGCAACACTTAGCCTCCCACTCTCCCCCCACAACCACAACCCGCCCCCCCTTTCACACCTCTGCCTTGCAGCATCCAAGAACCCACTATTCTCCCCCCCGGCTGGTGGGCGGATTTGATTCAACAGAGAGCAGGGGAGGCGAAACACGGCGCTGCCAAGAATCTGGTAAAAATCAAAGAGCGTTCTGCTGACGTGGCGTCCAGCCTGGCCGCCAGCGTGGCGGACGGCAGCTTGCAGCGGTCGTTGAGTAAAAGGGCCGAGGAAGCTGCCAGGAAGGTGCGGGAGCTACAGGATGCAGATCTGAAGGAAGGTGCGAGGATGGTGCGGGAGCAAGTGGGAGGGGAGGTGGCGAGGAGGATCGAGGGAGTGAGGGAGGTAGGGGAGAGGATGGTGTCAATGGGGAGGGAGGAGGCAGGTAGAATGGTGAGGGTGGGTAGGGGGGTGATGGATAGGGGGGTGCGGGAGATAAGGGAGAAAGCAGGCTACAGATGGGCTGCTGGGAAGGGGGGCAGCAAGGGTTCTGTTGGCTCTGCTGCTGCTGCTGCTGCTGCTGCTGCTGGTGTGAAGAAGCAGTGAGCAAACCTCAGGGCATGAACAGCATATCGAAGCGGGCTGCTGGGAAGGCGGGTGGTAGTGGTTCGATTGGCTCTGCTGTGACTGCTGCTGGTGGTGGTGTGAAGAGGCAGTGAGCAAGCATCAGTGCTTGAGCAGCCTATCCTAGCAGGATACAGGTGGGCTGCTGGGAAGGCGGGTGGTAGTGGTTCGATTGGCTCTGCTGTGACTGCTGCTGCTGGTGGTGTGAAGAGGCTGAGCAAGCATCAGTGCTTGAGCAGCCTATCTTAGCAGGATACAGGTGGGCTGCTGGGAAGGCGGGTGGTAGTGGTTCGATTGGCTCTGCTACGGCTGCTACTGCTAGTTCTGTGAAGAAGCAGTGAGCAAACATCAGGTTGAGCAGCCTACTTCAGCGGGGTACAGATGGGCTGCTGGGAAGGCCGGCAGCAGGGGTTCTAATGGATCTGCTGCTGCCGCTGGTGCTGCTGGTAGTGTGAAGAGGCAGTGAGCAAGCATCAGGGCTTGAGCAGCCCATACCTAGCGAGATACAGATGAGCTGCTGGGAGAGTGGGGAGCAGAGGGTCCATAAGCTTTGCTATGGCTGCTGCTGCTGCTCCTTCTGTGAAGAAGCAGTGAGCAGAGTGTTTCCTTCTCACATTAACCTGGGTGGCCTAGGGTGGGCTCTAATGTGAAGCTCCCTGTGTTTCGGTGTAGGGTTACAGTGTGGTGGAAATGGGCACAGGTGGGCAGCTGGTAGCTGTTGACTCTCGATACACCTGGCATTATAAAATACATGTTTAACACTGAAATGCCTGTAGCTTCATGTAAGGTACGGTACCAGCCTCTTCTTCAGAGTGCACCTAAGTCAGCCAAGTTTTTGGTGATGCACGTGATTGTCACCAATTCTTTTGTTGAGCATCGTGTTTGCAAGACATACTATTCTTACCAGATAGTGCAACTCCACATACTGTGGACCCCTTAACGATTTTTTTATATTGGAAATTAGGTGATTAAACGATGTGGCTGTCATGTGTTATTGCGGTTTTCTTCGTAATGCGGTAATAATCCTGTGGTGGTACGCCACACCTTCGGTGAGACCATTTATTTTAGGCAAGAATCGAGTTTCCTTTTTCCAACCCCTTGAATTCCAACCTGACCTACCATTACCTTGAATTCCGTTCCCGTCGTAGACAGCCGCATTTCACTAAGCGCGAGCCCAATAAAGCTAAGCTACATTGGATCCCTTGCTTTCAAAATCTGTACTTAGCGTCACCTACCCGGACTTATGGCGCCTGCCCCTAAACTATTAAATACCACATTCCCGTGCACCCCCTCACCTCGGTAATTCCTCCTGCCCTCCTACTCCCGCCTTTTTGCCCCTCCCCTCTCCCTCCTCCCTCGAGCTTGCCTCCTCTCTGCTGCTCTCACTCATCGCCCGATCACCACCACACCCTCTCCTGTCTGCTCTGCTGCTCCCCTCGCGGCTGCTGCTGCTGCTGCTCCTACTGCTCCATTTTCTTTCACCCAGCTCTACCTTTCTCCCCTTTCCTCCCTCGAGCTCCGCCTTGAGCTGTTTCTCTTACCTCACTTCCTAACTAGTCTTACCCCGTCTCCCGCGGATCCAGCTGCGGTCGGGCAAAATGGTACGACTGGGATTGCTGTGCCGTTTTTATTTCGGTCTAGATTTTTGCGGATAGGTAGCGCTCCGTGACCTGGTTTTAGGGTGTAAGCGGTTTTTGCGGACCAAATTTAGGGTTAGATGTATCAGCGCTTTACGTAGTGTCGACGACAAGCGCTTCGCTTCGTGCCGTAATAAATCGTATTCCTCCCATGGCGTGGGTTTGTCATGGCCTGGAATTCTTACCTGTAGCCCTGACATTTTGGTTTCCTTGGCCAAGTTAAGCTTAGAGGCTTGCCGTTTGCCGTGTAATTCGACGGACGTCTGAAACATTTCACCGAGTGCCTCTATGCCTCATGGCCGCGTCTACAGCTTGCTTCATGATCGGCGTTAAGAGGTCATCTCCAGGACTTTTTGCCGGCCGAGTGGACGGATAGTACAGTGTACTGGTAGTGTCCCGAATAATATGCCGCTTTTACCGACGGTGTTACACAGCAACGATACTCCAGCTTCGTGCAGTTTAGCAAACCAGATGTCTGAGTCAGCTACGCGAAGCATACTGAAACTGATCGTTAACTATTTATTCCCCCGATTCTTTATTTTCAACCTACACCGTTTTTCCCTGTCTCTCCTTCCGTTCGTGCCTGCAGTTGGTCCCCAAAAAGAACCGTCTCTTGGTCTACAAGTACCTCTTCAGCGGTGAGTCCTCCTCCTCGTTCCCCAACTCCCCGCATCCCTCCCCGCTTCCCCCCTCCTCCTCCCCCTCCCCCTTCCCCCCCCCACTCTCATTCCCACCCCTGTTGGTCCATCTCTTCAGTGGTGCGTCTTCCCTCCCCCTCCACCCTCTCTGCTCCACACTTTCGTTCTCCCATTCGCCTCCAAGTTACCCTGACCGATTATGTTTTACAGATCCTTATGTGAAGAGAAACGGGATAGTAGGGGGGAAGGGGGAAAAAGGGAGTAGAGTGGGGGAAGAGGTGGGTCAAGGAGTGTCAACGATGGTTAGAGTTTTTTAAAGCGGTTGAAAACGGCAATGCTTGTGCGGCCAGAGGAAGGGAAGGGGTGTTGCGGGGAAATCGCGATGGCTGGTTTCTTGCCATCGAACTGCCGTTACGGAGAGACAGCAGATTCGGGCAGATATTTCTGTCGGCTGGAAATTGTTTTCGTGATTAATTTGACGGAGTTAATTGTTACGAGCCGGCGCGTTTGCGTACGTCTGAAGACTCGAGGTGCTCCAGGATCGGTGGTGGCAATGCGGCGAGAGATTAGAGGATATGTGCCGAGAGTTACGTTAGTTGAGAGATCACACAATTGGTTCAGATAGTGACGTTAGTTGAGAGATACAAGGATTTGTGCAGAGAGTGGTTAAGTAGAGAGGTTCGAGACTCGAGTGGCAATTTTGCGACTTGGCTTCAGCTCCGTCCGTAACTGATCGACCTGGGGACCTGATTCCGAATTTTTGTGTTGAGACACCCTAAATACCTCAATATCACAGTGGGGCCTGCTGTCCCCTCGCACGTGTGTCCGCGCGCGTGCCGACCAGTGGACCCGTCGACCGGTCGATCGTAAGGGAAGCGCTGTAGCACAAACGTCTCACCATTGAGTCGATTTAACAAGTATTTTCCGAGAGTCTCGAGAGTCTCTAGTTCACTAGCACAGTTTTTTATCCTGCCCCCGCTGCCCCTTCCTACCCATCCGTCCTTTTCACCCCTCTTTTTTTGGTCCCGCCTCCCCTTTCCCCCAAGCACCCAGAGCTGGGACTTTTGAGAATTCTCAAAAACTCCCCGCCTCCCCTTTCCCCCAAGCACCCAGAGCCCCCTTCCACTTTCTTGTGTCATCTCACCCGATCATTTTCTGCTTGCCCCTCTCGCCCCTTCCCCGCACCCTCTTCTCCCGTTCTCCCCCTTACCCGGCCCTCTTCGTGGTAGAGGGAGTCCTGCTCGCGGAGAAGGATTTCAACCTGCCCAAGCACCCCGAGCTCTCAGCCTCTTTCTTGGATCATCTCACCCCGTTCATTTCCTGCTTGCCCCTGTTTGTCACTACCCCGGCACTCCAGGCGCCCCCTTTCCCCCATCCCTTCCCAACAGAGGGAGTCCTGTTCGCGGAGAAGGATTTCAACCTGCCCAAGCACCCGAGCTCTCAGCCTCTTCGTTGCGTCACCTCACCCCTTTCCTAATCCTCTTTCCCCTGTTCACTCCTTCCCCGGCCCCTTTTCTCCCTGCCTGCCCCCTCGTCCACACAGAGGGAGTCCCTGGTCGCGGATAAGGATTTCAGCCTGCCTAAGCACCCCCGATCTCTCAGCCTATTTCTTGCGTCATCTCACCCCGTTCATTTCCTGCTTGCCCCTGTTCGTCCCTACCCCGGCACCCCATGCGGCCCCTCTCCCCCATCCCTTTTTGCAACAGAGGGAGTCCTGTTCGCCGAGAAGGCTTTCAACCTGCCCAAGCACCCTGACCTCCCATCCACTTTGTAATCTCACTTCTTCCTCTCCCCGTTTGCCCCTGTTCGCCCCTTCTCCCATCCCTCGTCCCCACAGAGGGAGTCCTGTTCGCGGAGAAGGACTTCAACCTGCCCAAGCACCCCGAGCTCGAGGTCCCCAACCTGCAAGTGAGTGCTCTAATTAGCAGCCTTATTATGTATAACATTATCCCATGTCCTATTGCTTGATCCGTGTCCCTGGTTGTCTCGTAGTATTACCCCCAACCCCCGCACCCACGCTTCCCCCATCAACTCCCCCGTCCTCCCCTCCCTCCCCGCCACCCGAAATTCCCCCATCCGTTTTCCGCTCCCCCCGCACTCCCCTCCTCCCCCCAGGTGATCAAGCTGATGCAGAGCTTCAAGTCGAAGGGGTTTGTGCGCGAGACGTTTGCGTGGCGGCACTACTACTGGTACCTCACCAACGAGGGCATCGAGCACCTCCGCGACTACCTCAACCTCCCCTCCGAGATCGTTCCCGCCACCCTGAAGAAGTCCTCCCGCCCGCCCGGCCGCCCCATGGGCGCTGGCGGCGACCGTCCCCCCCGGTAAGTCAACGCTGGTCAACGCCAGTCAGCGCAGGTCAAACGTGGGGTAAGGCTTCTCTGAGATCGTCCCCGCCACCCTCAATTACTCCCGCCCTCCCGGCCGCCCCATGGGCACTGGCGGCGACCGCCCTCCCCAGTGAGTCAATTCTAGTCAACGCTAGTCAGTGTCAGTCAACATGTTAACTCTGCCCCATGGGTGCTCTCTACCCCCACCCCCGTTTCCAAGGACTACAATAGGAACTGTTTAAACTGGCCAGGCCAATAATTGGTATTGTGGGCGAACTCGGTTGGCGAATCCTTATCATCTTCCTTCCCTACCCCCTCACCCTCCCGTACCTCCCATGCTCCAGCCGTTTCGAGGTGGACGGGGCTATGGGGACCGCGAGGGATACCGCGGGTACGGTGCCGGTGGTGATGACAAGGCCGGCGCTCCGGGCGCGTACAAGCCAGCCTTCAGGGAGGTGAGCCTCTCTACACTAACTTTTAGCTAAGAAGTAATGTGACTGCAAGGAGCAGGTTTGGGCGTGGTGCTGCCTAACACTTGTTGCAATCCGTCTGCCCCTTGCGGTTCGGACTGCACTGTCACTCCTGCAGCTTCTAAGTTAGTCCAGATTAGTCCAGATTTTGTTTCTGGGGTGTGGGCTGCGCAGCTCATAATGTAATGTGCGTGCAATTGTCCTGAACTGTGCCTCAGGGTGGCTGGCCGCGGTGGCTTTGGCCGTGGAGCTGGGGGGTATGGTGGTGGCGACCTATGGCAGCGCTCCCGGTGCTCCTGGGGCTCCCCCTCCCGCTGTGTAAATGAGACATGGGCATGCGCTCTTGGGCCAAAATTATTGAAATCAGGCCTTTGCTCAAGGATTAGATGCCTCTGTATGGTACCAGCTCCTGCTCAGCTTTTGTGGGTGGGGCAAGTTTTACAAGCCCCTTCTGGTGCAGTAGGATGAGGATGGGCTCAAGTGTTGGCATTATGTTTCCTGTGATGCTAATGTTTCTCATTTTGAAATGTGCAATGAAGCCAGAAACTGAGTCGAATAATGCTTACGCCATAAAGCACACAGAATACTGTGACCTCAGACCTGAGTTGACTTAAATTCATTGTTTATGTGTTTGTATCGGTTGATTACCTTATCGAGTGGTGGCTTCGCGATATCGAGGTGGCCGTTATCGAACTTGCGTGGGACGCTGCTTGCAGTCGGACGAGACAAGACGCTTCGACGCCGCAGCGCTCCGCCTTTGACCAGGTTACAGTGTGCTCAATTTCAGCCAGCAGCCAATCAAATTTGTTCCCGCGTGTACTTAGTCACAACCTCCTCGTGCCAGTGACTGAAGGTGAAGGGAACCATACCTACACGACACAGAACGAAACTTGTTCTGACTGCTCCGAGCCTGTCTAAACAGGCTTGTCACGCCCCGGTAGGCTCGGACGGAGGCAAAACCGTGTCGCACGTGTCCTATTCTTTGACGGCGGGGATGAGTTCTCTTCGTTTAGTCCTGTGAACCTCGATTTCATCCTTCGCCACAAAACCTCCAGCCTCGAGCTCATCTGATTCTTCCCTTCCCCAGCCTTCAGTGCATCTCATCCAGAATGGGCATGGTGTTGGTTAGCTGATTGTCAGGAAGACTGAAGTAGTGACGAAGTTGTCAGGGGCGTTGTAATCACTTCTTTCTAGCGTCGATCACGGCCATTACGATTCGCTCCTATAACAATTAACTTGAGGAAAATCGTGAAAACCATCCGTAATTATAGCCGACGCCTGCTCTTCCATGTTACCAGGTCGCAGGAATACTTTAGACCAGCTGTAGGATCGATCAGGTCCGAGCCATGGCGTCCGCGTTATTCAATAGAATGGACCTCCTAACCTGCTTCGTCTTCCTCCTCGTGCTCGGCCTGAGCCAACGCTTCCAACTTCTCCCGTCCGTCCCGTCGCCTGAAGAGTTCCTATCCGACACAATGATCCACCAGTCGGGAGTATCAGTGGCCGATGAAAGCTCGAGAGGCCGCGGAGGCGTCTTCTAGAGGCTCCATCACAGGTATCCCATCCAATGTTCGATCCATGTCCTCCCGTCGTCCCGTCGCCGGAAGAGTTCATATCGGACACGATGATCCACCAGTCAGTGGCCGATGAAAGCTCGAGAGGGCCGCGGAGGCGTCTGTTAGAAGCTCCGTCACAGGTATCCCATGTTCCGATCCATGTCCTCCTTAGACCAGAAGCCTGATTCGCGCCGCCAGTTTCGTGCAGCCTCGCTGTCGCTGAAGTGCCCGTGCAGATTTTATATAGTTCGAATAGATCTAGCCTGGGGAGAGCAGTCGACTCAAAGCGTCGACGATCCTCACTCGGGTGTTTCCACACTGTGGCGAGTCTGATGAAATCTTTGGAGTCGATTGAGAAAATACGCAGCTAATTCAGTGATACCCACCCGACAAGGACAGAAACGGGTGATCACATGGTTATCATACAAGGAGTTTAGAGAGAAAGAAACGTCGATCACAATTTCCAGCAACTCGGACAGAAACGCCGATCCTCACTGATATGTCTGTTAATGCCCCCGTTCGTACTGGAGTTGCCTTTGACCATTCCGAAAGCCACCCAAGTAGAAACGTCAATCCTGAAGTGCTACATCCGTGAATAACCGCGTTTTCATCCTCAACGACTTCTCAAAGCGACCCGTTTTCATCGCACGTACCTCCATGAACGCTCCCGTCTTTATGGCAGGCGGAGGATCGCGAGGCGCAGAGGCAGATGGTGCGCGCGGCGGTGGAGCGATGGCGGAAGGAGCAGCGCGCGCGCGACAAGCGGG